TGTTCATCAAACAGAATGTGATTCAATAAACTATTAAATCCATACTGTACAATGTATTACAATGTTAAAATGAGTTAGGTAGATGTATAGATAACAACAGGAAAAGATGCCTATCACCACTGGAAAAAGAAAGATGCAGAACAGAATAGATGGTGTGACACATGCAAACTTTTGAAAAGTCAATACTCTGTTTTGACTGTAGAATTCTTAACATGATTTCAAGCTCATTAACTATATTGTTCAAATCTTTATCATTACTAATTTTATTTTTATCTAAATGACATACATAAGAGAGAATACTTTAAAAATCTGCTGCTATGAGTGTGATTCTATTTTTCCTTTTCTTCTCAATGCATTAAAAAAAAAGAAACTATTTTCTCTATGCTTTTAAGTATATAAAGGACTAGAAAAATCGGGACAAAGACAACAGTATAACACTCTCATATAATATGATACCCTTCCCTTCTCTCACCCAGAATCCTCCTAGAAATATAGCATAATAAATTCCATGATGTTTCAAAATACATTGTTTTATACACACATGCGCGTGTGGACACACACATTCACACACACACACACACCCGAGGAAAACATCCCACAAAGAAGGATATTTTCAAGAGCCAGAGCTACCAGAATACAAACTGAAATTCAGTAGCCTTAGACTGAGGGGGCCAGATATTAAATAGGGAATTAAACTGGAAAAGTTTTAAAACAATTTTATAAGAACACCAGGGATGGGGCTGGGGATTTAGCTCAGCGGCATAAGCACCTGCCTTGTAAGCAGGCAGTTGTGAGTTCGATCCCCGGTACCGGTTTTAAAAAAAAAAAAAAGAAAAGAAAAGAACACCAGGGACAAATGGGAGGAAGTGCTCATCATATCCCTTAATATTTGAGGACAAGGGCCTGGGTACTGATGAGCTTCAAACTTCGGTAGCTCAAATGTGCTTTATAAAAAATGTAAGCAGAGAACTGATGATCAAACTTCCAAATCTTTTGGGGAGAAAAAAAGAAGAAATTTTTAAAAATCTGATTGTTCATACAGAAAACAGAAAATGGGTGGGAGTAAAGCTGTAAAGGAAAATCATAGAGAACAAGATGGTGGAAATAAATAAGATGGTAGAAACACATGTTGGCACTCATTATTTTGACTAGGTGTGCTGGCCTCGCGTCTTAAATGACCAGGAAAGAAAGCAGCAACAGCAATGTGGTGAACGAATTGTTTCAGAAAGACCGAGAATTTTAAATACAGAAAGACCATGTTAGAGAAATTTAATCCAAAAATACATTTAAAAATGAGTGTAGCTGCACATATTAAAATCTGACAAAAACAGATTTTGAGGCAAAAGAAGTAATAGAAGTAACGTTATATAATAAGAAAATTAACAAGGAAGATGTAAGGATCTCAAACTTCTACGCATCTAACAATAGCCTCAAAATATATAAAGCAAAATGTTACTGGAGTTACAATGAAAAGTGAACAAACCCATAATTATAGAGGGAGACTTTCAAGTTTTCCTCTTCCTTATATGACAAACAAATGAAAAATAAAATTAGTAAGGAAGAGGAAGATTTGAATAGCACAATTAACAAGCTTTACATTATAAAGTTCTGTGGCACAAAATTGAGCCTTTCAGAGTTCTGTGGTACAGTTATAAAAATTAGGCAGGTGATAAACCAGAATAGCCATTCAGATCATAGGCTCTGATAACAATGTAATAAAATTAGACATGAATTATAACGAGGTTGCCAAAACACTGCATTCATTTAGAAAATTAAACAAAGATAAAAGGGTCATATTCCAGAACTTAAAGAAAGGAATGCTGAGGAAAGAAATTAAAAATCGATGAGTTAAGCGTAGTTCTAGAAAAACAGACAAAATTAACTTAAAGACAACCAAAAAATTTAAAAACCAGAAAAAAAAGAAACAGGAAAATAATAGAATGCAATTACATATAAATTAACAGTACAAAATATAAACAAGACTCTAAATTGGTTCTTTAAAATAAGTAAAGTAAATATAAAATAAAATACTTAAATCAATACTTTAAAATAATATTTATATTTTAAGGGCTGGGGATTTAGCTCAGCAGCATAAGCACCTGCCTTGCAAGAAGGCGGTCGTGAGTTCGATCCGCGGTACCGGATAAAAGGGGGGGAAAAAGTTTATATTTTAATATAAAAATTTTTGATGTGATTGTCAAGAAAAAGGAGAAAATACACACTAATAAGGATGGAGGACAAAACTTCAGCTATAAGAAGTCACAGGCTATGATGTAGAATTTTATAACAAATTAACTTTTGGAAAGATGTTCTAGAGAAATGTAATTTTTAAACGAAAGGCAAGAAGATCTCGTAGAACTTGGCTGGCCCTTGTCACAGTCTGGAGGAGTTTATAAATTGTAATACCAGGGAAAAGTTATTGGAATTCTCGCAAATTAATTCCAATCTTGCATTTCCAATGGAACCCAGATGAGAAGAAAGAGACTAAGGCGTACCTGCAGTTGTGGGGAGCCAAGGGGCTCCTAAGTCCAGAGGGAACAAGGGCAGCTGGGACACAGGCACCGACCTGCGCTGACCTTAGCTGTAAGAGGGGAGTGGTTCCAGGTCCAGGCACTGTACACTAGCAGGAAGGAGGCACAATGGCACTCTGCCGTGTGCAGAGAGACATCTGCAGAAAGCGTTCCAGATTCCGGAACAGGTAGCCTCTAAGCTTGGAGGAATCTGCGTAACAGTGTGAGAAAATAGCCTGTTTTGGGTCAGCTCTGAAGTCTAGCTGTCATTGCCCTGGGACTTCATTCTTTCTGGAAGCTCAGTCCCCGCCGGAGGGGCGGGGTCTCCTGGCCTAGCTCATGCTGAGTAGTGGGGGGCTTTCAGCAGGGCAGCACACACCTGTAGCTTTGCATCAAAGCCTGCATGTATCAGAGTCTCAGCTGGACCCGTTTGCATTGCTAAAAGTCAATCGAGGGTCAAGGGAGCATCTTCTTAGCCAGCTCTGTACCTACCAGCACAGGAAAGTAGGGCACGGGTGAATCCAGCTGGAAACAAAGTGTCTTCTTTCACGGGCAGCTGTCCCAGGGGTCCTCCACAGATCGGACTGGGTCTATATCTATTAATAAAATCATGACACTATGTTACACTCTAACCACAAAAACAAAATTATTAGATACAGATGACTTTACGTGTAAGTGCAATTAGCAAACCTGAAGGGATGTTAGAAATGCCTGTGATGAAAGCGTCCCACATCCTGGTGTTGATATTCCTGCCAAATACCAAACCCGGATCCCATATAGGTTTTGGATTGGGAGTTTAGAGGAAACAGCTGCAGAGGAACAGGTTAGCTGATAGCACAAAGGGCGCGTCTTGGAAAACCCAGAATGTCAAAATCTACAGAGCAAACGATTCATTTTTAAAATCAATAAATTTCAAGGGGCCAGGGATACAGCTCAGCCACAAAGCACCTGCCTGGCAAGCAAAAGGTCGTGAATCTGGTCCTGATATAAATAAATAAGTAAACACAAATAAATAAATTTCAAGGAAAAAAAGGTTGCAGATACTTATACATTAAAATAAGCTTAGGAAACATCCAGTCAAATGCAATCTATGGGCTTTATTTGGATCCTGGTAAAGTAAACCACATAAAGGAAATTAAGAGCATGGCTTGGTGGTGGAGCACTTGCCCAGAGTGCCATAAAAAATCTGCCAAAAGAATCTCATGATATATTGTAGAAATGTATTTATTGAAAAAGTGTAATTATTATTTTTAGATATAGTAATGTTATTGTGCTTATAAAGAAACCTGATCTTTTAAAGGTTCATGCTCAAATATTTGAGATGAAATGCTATTAGTTGTACAATTGTCAATCAAAAATTTAAAAATTAAAATAATTATTAAGGGGAAGTGTTCAGAAACACACATAAAGCAAGACTGGTCATGACTACATTTATGATCCTATTCACTGGGGTTTTTTTGTTTTGTTTTGTTTTGTTTTTTGTTTGATTCTTGTTTTTAAATGATACTGCGGCCTTAGCCCTTCAAAGACTGGGGAAAAAAAAAAAAGGACCGAGGCGGAGCCTTACTGAGTTGCTCGCTGCGCGGCTCGGCTGGGCTGGGTGCGAGCCTCTGGTCCTCCTGCTTTCGCCTTCCCAAGTGTTAAGGTTACAATATGAGCGCCCACACTCAGCTGTACTTTTGTGTGTTTGACATTTTCTAAAATAAAAAGTTAAAGGACATGAAAACAATGCTGGGATGATTTCTTATCCACGTGAGAAAAAGATAAATGAGATCTCTACTTCATTTCATGTAAAAAAAATTCCAGATGAACAAAAACTCCAATTGTGAGTTGCAAAATCTTGAGAATTTTAGAAATACATATAGGAGCACATGTTTATGACACTGGAGTAGGGAAAATTTGCTAAGCAAAGAGCTGATCGTGAAAGCAAACAGATACATTTTACTACCTAAAAATAAAATCTTTACAAACGTAAAATTACCTGAAAGTGAAAGACAAACAATAGTCCGAGAGAAATTATTAGCCATTAACTATGAGTACCCACAATATGTAAATGACCGTTTACAAATCAGTAAGAAGAGACATGGGGCCATGGGCACACCTTGTCCAGGGGATTTGAAGAGAAAACCTGAGATGGTAAACAAGTGTGAGAAATTACAACCTCACTGGTAATCAGGATAGCGCAGTTACAGCAGCAGTGAGAGGCACTTCACATCCGTCACCCAGCACAGCATACATATCAGATGGTCCCTGGTGATGGTGAGGAGGCGGGAAATGAGAGCTCTTCACAGCGCTGGTGGAGCTAGATCGGCACACCCACATCGCAGACGCTTTGGTAACCCTAGAGCTAGACAGGATGAAGGGGGCGCAGCCTGTGGCTTAGCAGCTGCACTTCCACATGTCCACCCTAAATTTGAGCCTGAAAGATATGACCACACACACACACACACACACATATTATGCTTGTATGTATTTGTGTTTGTTTTACAGGTACCCTGTATAACAGCATTAAAATGGAAATAACTGTACCTTTAAGACAAATAAAGTGCTGGCAAGCAGGTCACTGAATGAACTATACCTACACGGAGCAACATGAGTGCGTTTCAAAGCAGGTTTTTTTTAAAGGTATAGACATTATGCTGCTGATCATATAAAATGAAAAACACACCGAAGACTTGTTTTTGTTGTTATGCTACACACTCATATTTCTAAGCATACAAGAATGAAACCCACCATGCCAGGACGTGGTACCCTTATTGGAGGAGGAAGCGATAAAGGAATGGGGGAGACTTTAATTCTGGCACCTTACTAATGATCGCATCCTTAGCTGTTACACTGAGGGTGCTGACAAGGATATCTGTTCACCATTCTCTGTACTTTTTCATGCATTTGAAATATTTCATAATTAAAGTTCTTTTTTTAAAGAAAATGCATTGGTTTAATATCCTCAAAATATTATGTTGTGACGCATTAATTAAAGATGATATGATTTCCCAGATAATTAACTGAAACCTACTTAGAACTAAAAAGTAACAGTGGTTATCCCTGGGGATACAATTATTAAGGAGCTTTCACTTCTCTACTCTTTTAAATTGTTTGAATTTTAAAGTGATGAACATGTGTTACTTTTTACTCAGAAAACAATAATGATAGTTTCATTTTAAACTAAAATTAAATAAGATGGAGGAGTACAAAGTCAGATAACTAATAAAGCTCAGGATGGTAGCAGGTTGCAAAATAAATGACAGAAATAAAACTTTAAAAAAGTAATGCTAGGAAAAAACTACAATTATAAAACCAACCCAAATTTTTAATCAAAAATGTACATATTTACATGAGGAGAACCATAATGGTTTACATAAAAGGAGACTTAAGAAATATACATGAAATGTTTCAGGTTGGGAAGATTTTATATTCTGAAGATGTTAATTCTCTTTAAATGAACCTAAGATTTGTCAAAACCTCCAATAACACACGTAGAATTGAGGTAGGTAAGAGTCTTTTCACAAAGTGATTCTTTTTTTTTATTTTTTATTTTGTCTTTTTCCTTTTTACTGGTACCAGGAATCGAACTCACGACTGCCTGCTTGCAAGGCAGGCGCTTATGCCACTGAGCTAAATCCCCAGCCCCCACAAAGTGATACTAAAACTCATCCAAAGAAATCAGTGGGTTAAAATAATTGACAAACTATTAAAAAATGATTAATAATGAAAGTTTTCCTTAATAAATATAATATTCTTTAGTTGGAAAAGTAGCTTTTGTAGATAATTATACTGTTCATTGTCAAAAAACTGAAACTTATTTATTGTACAAAATACAAACAAGAACAAAACTCAAATTTTCCATACTTCCGTCACTCAGAGATTATCACTGTTTTGAAATGATGAAATTTTTAATTCTGTGCTCACGCACATGCGTGCATAGCCTAGAAATGAACCCACTCTAATACTTCTATTTTTATAATCCAGTGCTTTACACTTACAGACAGTTAATGAACAGATTTCTATATCACTAAATGTTTTCCAGTGGAAACTGATTCCGAGCTGCATGGACTCCTAAAGAGTTCTTCAACTCATTGACATCAAATGCAAACTTATCTACATGCGTGAATTTTTATGCACAGAGTTTCTATCACTTGTAAGTGACCTCAGAGTGGCCCACGCTGGAGGAAGACTAAGAACCACTACTGTAGGTGACTTTCAGGGGTAACAGAGTTAATGGATATAATTCATGCACCGAACTGTTACTGGATCCTGGGATGCCCTGGGATCCTTTTGAGCTCTTGTTCTTCTGTACAAGGAATTGGACAAGATGAGTGAAGGACATAGAGATTTTTTCATGCTTATTTTTCATTTATTAAAGGTAAAAGGAGGTAGAAACATAGGGAGAAAAGAGAGAAGGAGTTGGAAGAAAAACAACTGCACGGAAAAGTGAATGTGGGGAAAGAAAATACGTTTTACATGCAGTGCGGGCCACTGCGAGAGAAAGACAGTGCCCACGAGGCCAGTGGCTGCCGGCGTTTACCCCCATTTGAAGGCAGAGCCCAGCCATCCTGTGCAGGGTGCTGCAGCGGTTCTGTGCCTGTGTCCCGGCCGTGACTGGCAGATCTCCATGATTGGCAGGTCATGCCCAATTGTCCAGACTGTTTACCACGCTCTAATCTCCTGCCTCAAGATGCCACACCCATTTAAAGCATATACTTGAGTGCCTTTAGTGTGTCCACGAGGCAACAGCCACCAACCCAATTTAAGAACGTTTTCACCACCCCAGACCCTGTACCCGTTAGCTGTCCCCTCTCAGACACCTCATTTTCTCCAACCTTAATCAACCACGAATCTACCTACCTTCTGTCTCTATAGATTTGCCTATTCTGAACATTTCATGTATATAAAATTGTACAATATGTGGTTCCATCTGTATTTCTTTTTTTAGCAACCATTTGTTTAGATTCATATTTTTCAATCTTTTTTCATTATCATTCCCCTAAGCAGAAATTTTCACTTCATTTAATTAATTTTATTAATTAGTTAATTCATGAATTAATTTTAAATTATAATTACTCCATACTATAATTTACATTACTATAATTAATAAAATGAACTTATTTGCTGCATTAGTTGACTTTAAATTCATCCTAATGGGATAAATTAAATAGTAAAAAGTAAGATTTATTCCTTGTGGCTGTCCTTCGGAGAGCGACAAACCATGGAGCTATCTAAAATAGCTTCTGCTCTCTTGTGGGCAGCGTCACAGCGTTGGGAATGTATACTTCAAACAGCGCTTTGCACCCCCGTGGTGTGGTCATTCTCACTCTTTTTGTTTTTGGAGGATGCTTCATATGTGGGAGAACCTGGCTTTTTGTAATATACGTTGCAAATAATTCCCCACCACCACCTTTCACTTTCTTGTGACTTCACGGTAGTGTGTGGATTTTGAAGCCACACTTACAGATCTTTAAGAATGTAGTTTAATTTATCAACTTTCTCACGTCTTCTGGGGCTTTATCATATTTAGAAAGGCCTTTGTCATTCAGAAATTATAAAAACATTCTCTCATAGTTTATGATTTTATTTTCCATGTTTAACTCTGTGATCCACCTGAAATCTATTTTAAAGGGAAAGTAGGAAGCAGCGACCCAACTTTTTTCCCAGATGACTGCCTGTTATTTTAAGATCGCTTTTTGAATGATCAATTTCCTCACATTACCCTATAATTTGAAAGGTTACTGGTGTTACACACTAATCTGTGGATTTATTGTCTGTATTGTTGATCCATCTATGCTTACATGTACCATTACTGTACTGTTCTTACAGTGTTATAATGTGTTTTATTATCTAATGGACTCTTCCCCTATCCAATTTCTTGACATTATAAAAATTGATTTCTTATTTTATTTGCTCATTTTTTTGGTCTTTTTTGAGACAGGGTCTCTATGCAGTTCAGGCTGGCCTTGAGCTCACTTTGTAGCCCAGGCTGGTCTCGAGCTCACAACGATCCTCCTGCCTCAGCCCCCCGAGTGCTGGGATTACAGGTGTGAGCCACCACACCCGGCTTATTTGTTCATTTTTAACAAAACTCTGAAATCAGTTGCTTTTATAAAATAGCTATTGTGTCATTTTTTCAATCTAAAAAGGCTAATAACTTCTTTTTGTCATTGTATTCAAGAACATGAAATGACCTTATAATTGTGAAAGTATTTCAAAGTTTTACCTGCATTACACATTTTATTGTTATGATAAAATGCTGAGTATTATGTCCGTGTGTGTGTATATGCTAGTTCTTCTTTTAATATTATAGCATGCCACATTATTGAACATTCTTACAGTGTATAATAGTTTTTAGTTTGACTTTCCACCCACACAGACACATCATCTGCAAATGAAGATAATTTAACATTTCTCTTTCTTTCATATCTCTAATATTTTTCTTTAATCACACGAGTTTACCCTGACTTTAATGAGAATACTTTTAGTGTTTCTCTCATTAAACACTAAACATAAATTATTTTCTCCTAATAAAAGCATGATGTTGTCTTATGGGTTTAGATTGAATCTATTTTATATGCTAAAGAGATAACTACCTCTTCTTATTTCAACAAATGTTCTAAAAATTAAGAATAGATATTGTATTTTGTCAAATGTCGTTCCAGTATTTGTGGAAATGATCCTATGATCATTCTCCTTAGACCTATTAATGTGATGAATTATATTAATAGACATTTCCCCAGCCTTTTGTTATGAAATCGTTTGAACAGATCCCAAAGTGGCAGTGTAACGGTGAACAAGCATACACCGACCCACTACATCCTGTCACTAGCAGGTTTCCAAACTTGCTTTATCATTTTTGGGTTTTTGGATCAAATAATTTTGCTTCATGAAAACAATTTGGTACAAAAATTTGGCAACAGGACAATGTAAGTAGCATTGGAACTATGAATCCCTTAAAAATTGACACAATTTCCCTGCAAATCTATCTGGAATACGCTATTCTTTGAAAACCTGGGTAAATTTTTAACAGTGTTTTCTATTTCCTCAGTGCTAATCTTTCCATTTATTATTTCTCTCTCTTCTAGAGTCAATTTTTTGTTTCTTGTTTTTTTGTTTTTTGTACCAAGGATTGAACTCATAATCTCATGCTTGCCAGGCAGGTGCTTACACCGCTGAGCTAAATCCTCAACTAAAATCAATTTTTATAATTTTTTCCCGGTAAAACTGTCAGTTTTTCTGGTTTGCAAATTATTTATGTGAAGTTGAGCTCCTAACTATCTGTTGTGTTTACTTTTACAATGGTCATTACTGTTTTGTGTGTCTTTGCTTTCTTATTTTGGATTAGGTTACCAGACCTAATGCGCTCTTCCCCTCAGCCACTTTTATGCCAAAAAACTAGCACCTGGCAACAACAGAGAGGGCAGAAAGTCTCCTGGCGTGCCACCACCACCCCACAGCTTACTTCTAAGAATTCAGAGAAAAAATTCTGTGTTATTCCAGAAATAGGAATAAGATTGCAATCTAAATTCAAACAAAGATTTTGTATAAGAAAAAAAGGAGCAAATGCAAATAAATGGAATGCTATTCTGACAGAAAGAAAACATACGCAAACACAAAGCTAATTGAGCCAAAAGCAGCTAAGAAAATGTGGAAACACAGAACTAACCAGCAAGAGAAGAGCTCAGCCAGGAAATGCCAGGCCGTGAGAGGGATTTTTAAAAATCTGATAGTATTGGAAAACAAAGAGGATTTTCTTTACACAAGCAAATTTTGAATGAAAAGAAATACAAGAGTGAGTAAAATCCTCAAAGGATCAGTGATAACAATAAAGATAGAAAATAGAACTGAAGATCAAACAGGAATAAAGAAAGAAAGTAAGAAGA